AWTWARRWTTWAATGCAAGTTGGCACTATTCATATTTCGTACAAGCGGCCCCTGGGTAGAAAATTTATCGTGGGGGTATTCACCTGACATCACGACTTGGAGCTCTCTTGGTATGATTCAGGTTATAGGGACACTGGTGAAAAACGCACTGCGCATGCCCACAGCTTTCCCGCTAGTGAGCGCTCGCGTCTTGAAATCTGTAAACAGAGCGCCTGGCGATTTACAGCGACAACACAGAAAACACTACGAAAAACCTCATTTTCTCAAAATAGAAATGACAAGATAAAAATAGAAATTACATACTAAAAGAACATATCATGAACAATGATTGATGGAAATATGAATCTTATATATCCGTGAACGAGCTTATAAATTGTAAAAAACTTTCACAAAAATCGCTTTACAAAGGAAATTAGGCAGATTTCAACGGAAAGCTGTGGACATGCGCAGTGCGTTTTTCACCAGTGTCGGTTATAGGCTATAAATCTTATCGTGTAGTTCCAGCGTAGCATTTTATGGCAAGTTCATTGGAACAGGAATATTATATTATTTCTTTCAAGAAGTATCCAGTTATATTAGCTTCGTTGGTATAACATCGTAGCTGCAAAACATCGTAGCTGCGTCGGTATAACATCGAGGCATACTTCGGAAAAACATCGTAGCTGCGTCAGTATAACATCGAAGCATACTTCGGAATAACATCGTAGTTGCGTCGGAATTGCATCATATCTGCGTCGGTATAACATCGTAGCTGCGTCGGTGTTTCTATATGAACCAGTTGTGATAAATAGGACACTGGTGAAAACACACTGCGCATGTCCACAGCATCTCCTCCAGTGACAATCTCGTACGCAGCTCCACTATCCCTCTTACTCGCAGGCTCGACGAAAAACATTGGCTCTGGAAATGTCCAAAACCGGAAGCCAGAATCAGGCTACGGATTGAAATGCGCATGATCGGAATTAGACAATTTATTTAACTGATTTTACTCAAGAAAATTGGCTAAATGCAAGCCTTCGAAGTCAGAAAAGTGATGTTTTTAGACCTTAGATGATAAATCTATCTTCTTCGAAGTTATTTTTGATGATCTATTATGATCAGAACGTAGCAGACAGTAACGGATAGCGATTATCATGGCGTCACAGTTCGTCGCCTCGCTGTATTCCATTTCAAACTTAATTGATCATATTACTCTCAAATTCCCACTTCATAGACTTAAAAAGTGCTTTTAAAGGAAGAATTCAAGGTAAAGTAGGGAAATACAGAATGATTTGAGTTTTTTTCTCGGTGATATTTTCACTTCCGGCGACAAGTATGTTTATTTTATGAGCCAATCAACATGCAATCAAAGAGCGAAAATTTTTGGTCTACTCCAATGTTTTTCGTCGAGGGTGCGAGTAATAGGGACAGTGGCGCTGGGTACGAGATTGCTCCAGTGAGCGCGCGCCTCTTGAAATCTGCCTAATTTAACACAGAAAGCACTACGAAAAACCTCATTTTCTCAAAATAGAAATGACAAATTAAAAAAAGAAACTACATACTAAAGGCCCGTTTACACTTGCAATGCAACTCGCGGCGATCAAAAATCGCTCAATCGCTCACTGGCGGGAAAGCTGTGGACATGCGCAGTGCGTTTTTCACCAGTGTCGGTAAATAGTCAATGTGCAGCGACGCCATTTTGTACAGCAAAGCATGATGGGAGTCGCAGTCTTCGACTTTTTAAAGCCCATGGGAAAAGCTGTTTTTATGTTGTCTTTTTAAAAACAACACAATTACCAAAAGAACTGATTTGCAAAAAAGCAAAAACACATTGAAAGGACATTTTTTGCGGCAATGTTAAAATGCGAAGACTACAGCTCTCATAATGCTTTGATGCGCACAAAATGGCGTCACTTTACACTGCCTTTTGATAAATTAAAGGTCGTACTGAGAAAATAGATAAAATATATTGACATTCCGGATATAATCCTYTGTGGTTCCTTTGTTGTAGTATAATTACTTTGGACTTCCATCCGAAACGATAGATGTTTTCTATATATAATTTTACGTGTATAATTTAATATGCCAACTGTTTCGAATAGTAAACATACCCTTGCAGTCTTGTGGTATGCCTGCAACTTCTACGTGAACACGAATAGGAAGAGGCCCGGTTTCAGACGTCKATCTTTTTTCGCATCTAAAGTAATTCTGGAGTTAAGTTTATGGGSATTTCGTACGTCTAAACATTGGTAGATTTTGATCAGTTGGGCGAGCTTACTATAATCCGGAAATGTCAACAGTCTCCTTCACGGACAATTGATTTAGACTTCAAACTTCTCGTGAACCACATGTATTGGACGTTGCAAAAGTTCGACGTCTAAACAGTGCCTAAGTGAGCTAGTCTAAAACGCGCCGCGAGGAACAATAATGTATTAAAAAAAAAAACAAAACAAAAAAAACAAAACAAAAAAAAAACAATGTATTCAGCCATGAATGCCAGATTGACCTGATTTATTTTCTTCTTGCAATGGAATTGTTGTATTTGAACATTTTGAATCGTTTTATGTTATTCACTGTTTCATGGTCATTTTTAACTAAAACTACTTTATTTAATATCACATTATAATGCATTGTTATTATCATTTCTTGGTAATCACTTCAACATGCTTGTGTTCAGAAAACACCAATAAACAGTCAAGTGCAAGCAATTTGGACGAGTCCTTTTAAAATAAGTTAAATAATTATCACTGAACTCATGAATTACGAAAATTAGACTTTTCCCTTATTTATAGAGATTCTCACATTTACTTTCAATAATTTTTGCTCATATTTTTCATTCACTTCCTATATAACAACTATGTTTTTTGTGAAGCTTATTTCTTGCACCAAAAACCCGTTGGACAATTCCAGTTGAAATTGTCACTAGATATTCCTGAGCCTGGAGCTTTAGGAGGTACTGGAGCCATATTCTTTGGGATTCGGGTGTCTTTCACTTGTTTAGTGCTGATGACCCGCTTTCTGCACCAAAATCCGTCTGGGCAATCTTTCTCGGGTGTGTCTTGATCGATGACATATTCGCTTCGTCGGCAGAAGTAATTTGAAGGGCATGCTCCAGAAGACAAGCTACGTTTGGAGTGGGCAAAGGAGTCCTTCTTGCACCAAAACCCAGTTGGGCAATTGTCCTGGTCAAGAGAGCGCCGTTTTCGGCACCAAAACCCAGTGGGACATAGAGAGGATCTCTTGCACCAGAACCCTTTTGGGCAGTCCCCTTCAGCGGTTTGTTGATGGATTACGTTTGCAGCTCTTTTGCACCAGAATCCAGTTGGACAATTTGATGAGCTGTCGCCTTGATCTTCAGATCGCTTGCACCAAAAGCCTGTCGGGCAGTTATCTTGGTCATATGAACGCTTCCGTTTGCACCACATTCCGAGTTGACAATTACGAGCTTCTAGAGGGGTCATACCTCGCCTGCACCAAAACCCTTTCATGCAAGAGCTGTCATCGTTTATTGAGGCAGCGCTCAATTGAAGCACGCTACCAGCGGCCAACAGTAGAAATAACAARGCTGAGTGGATCAACATTTTACTAAATGAGAAAGAAAAAACGTATTAATCTCAAGGTACTATTGGTCAAGATACAGTTAAACACATTAACGTTCATTTTAAGATCGTAATCTAACAAATATCAAGAAGTCACATTAACGTTGTTAAGTTGTAATGACATAAAAACAACAAAATATTAATTGCATATATCGAATTTGTAATTATTTTTCCAATGCTAAGTTTGTACGACGCCTTTGCAATGTCAAATGTTTAACATTTGATGTGCTGTCTTGATTGGATTTTTAAATGAAATTCTTCCCAGGAATTTAAGAAACATTTTTTATGCAAATGACCTTGTTGTTTTTACCTCTTTACAAGTGAATAATGTTTATGGGATTGACTGTATTTCACGAAGGAAAAATATTAAAATAGGAGGAGCCGACGGGCCCCTGCGAGAAATACACCTATTTCCAAAAACGTTGTCGTCACCAGGACACAGTCAACAGTCTTGAGCCTGCAGAGAATCTCGGGATTTCCATGTGTAATTAATATATTCAAGATATATTTGCCTATTGTGGTTTGAATTCAATGGCGGTAAACACTACTAATATACTAGAGCGGATTTCGTATGAGTGGGAAACGGACGGTACTGTACTGTGTCCGTAATCGTACTGTAACCAAATTCTAGTGCCCCATTGTTTCACCAAAATTCTGCAGGCCAGGTGCGGTAACTGTGCGGTAACCGTGCGGTAACGGTGTCCCACTCATACGAAATCCGCTCTATCGCTGGTATTAAATTCATCGAACAAGTATCATGAGAAAAGTACCATGAGACAATTTACGAGCTTCAAAGATACTGAGAATGTGAAAAACGGAAAGTGAATATATAATTTTATATGGCAATCCCTAGAGTCTTTGCAGCCTCAAGACCGTGGACTGCGTCATGACAACGACAATGATTTTTGAAATAGGTGTATATCTGTTCTTATGTCCCAGCCAGCTGTAAGTCAAACTGGTTACCAGCGAGAAATTCAGAAAAAAAGAATTCTCCAGGCAAGATTTTTTCCAGGAAAATAAAAATTTCTAAAAAAGCCGTTTTGGACCATAAAAACGTTYGCCACGAATAAAAATTTCTTAGGACCAAAAAAGTATTGTAATAACCTTAAATAAGCCTTTTGTGACCTTAAAAACGTTTGCCAGGAACAAAATTATTTTGAAGAAGGAAAGGAACCACATTTGTTTRGGAGATTGTCAACGATGGAGCTCAAAAATTCCCTACCCAGGAAAAATTGGTACAAGATCAGTTATTTAGAAGAACAGACCCCCGTCGGCTCCTCCTGATTAAAGGAGGATGGAAACCCCAGATAATGAGACTAAGTGGTCGTATGATTAATGACCAAAGATGGATKAAGCAATACAATGTGCGCTATATATGGCAAGATTTGAAGTCGAAAGGAAACTGACGAAGAAAAAATATGACATAGTATGAAAAAGTATGAAAACAATATTAAAGGTTAGAAAATGAGAGGAAGTATGAACAAAACGAATTCATAGAATTACAGASAAGAACACAAGAGCACAACCAAAGAACGGAAAGAAAGGAAAATGAGAGGAATAAGAACAAGTGGGAAAAGAGACGGAGAACAAAACAGAAAAATGRAAAAAAAATGATCAAGAAAGAGAAGAGAACGACGAAGACGACCAAAAGCAAGAGCAAGAAAAAGAAAGGTCGAGAATAACGGCATATATTAAGCAAGATTAAAAAAAAATTCAGGAGAACTGATTGATCACTAACTTGACCTGCCGCGATTTTTTTAGGCGTATTCCGCAATACTCAATCACACAAAGATTCCCTTTGATTGTCAAATCACTTTTACTTTTGTAGCGCAATGATCCACTTGACGGATTAATTGACAGAACACATCCGTCGCAATCTGTCCAAGAAGGGAAGCGATCTGTTTCCACAGCGTTAACGTCATTGAAAACGACAAAAGCTTTGCAAACAAACATTGTATTTCAAGTCCAGCGCGTCACTCCCCAAGTGATCATTTACTAAAATGTGCTGAAAATTTCAAGTATTTTACCAAATAAACGCTGCTACATTTGTAATATTAGCGCTCATGGGGTGCAAATACAAACACCGTGTAAAATCAACTTTTGAACAGGGATATCAATATCAACATCGCGTCGCTAGTCCAGGTAGTTACAACCGCAAATCCTTTAATAAGGTTGTCAAAGCGATACGCATTCGAAAATACGGAACTTACGCACCGCACCTTGGTATACAGCAGTTTCAAAAATGACGGACGTGTGAAATTTGAGAGATGGAAGTACCGAGTTACTATTGGTACCACGATAACTGATTTCAATATTCTCCCACAAAACGCAGCCAATAATATTTATTCCATTAAAAGAAGAMTTTCTTGCMTGATTTCTTTTTGTTTTTCAGCATTTCAATGTATATCATTCGTCAATATGRGATATTTAATATAACTTTCCACCGTGTTACTGCCGTGTGCATCTCGGCGATAACCTTTCCTGGAATATACCTATATATGTAGTAYTTGGTTGTTGCGCCTTTAGATTTTTTCAATGAAAACTGTTTGAAATAATGAAATATGCACTAGGAAAATAAAATATGATAAACTTAGATTTACAAAAGCTGAACATGACTGAAAAATTCAGAGTTGTAAAAGGTTAACTCAGTTATCAAGGAAAATTTAAAAAAAAGAAAATTTATAATAGCTTGATGTCTACAGCTGAAAATAACGGATACAAACTAGGAAGTTCACTTTTGAGTAGACTCGAATGATCAGTGTCGTACAAAAGTTTATTTGTATGCTCGTCCAATTTGGCACAAKTTAGCGGCGTCCTTTAAGTAATACTTCCTCGCTAAACATTCTACAGGATCTAGCTTATAAGGGTTACAATTGTTTAACTTAATAATTTTAGTTCAGGAAATACAATTTTATTTTCATAGACAAAACATATTTCGAAAATTTAGAGWGCAAAGAATTGTCAAAGTGATATTTGATATTTAACATACTGTGTCAGTATTCGTCTGTTTTGATGAAAATGTTGGACTATAATTTGCCATATTTATTGAATTTACACGTATCATTCACAAAAAAGGAAACAAAAGATGAAATAGTTTAGTCAATCAATAAAAAGAAAAAAAAGTGTCAGACGAAGTATGAAAACTCGTCTGCGTCGAAGGGAAAATAATTTAAGATTTTTTTCCAGGTCGTTGCGACTTCTTTTACTGCGAATTTGTGCGATTTTTTTCACTGAAAAGCTAACACTTCGTACAAAGCTAACCGATATCAATAGATATTCATAATATAGAGAATAATTATATACAATACTTAATATTCTGAGAATTTAGAATTATATATTATCGACAAAAATAAATCGTGTTAATTTAAAATTTCACAAACAGACCTCAAAAATAAATTCCCTAGTTTCTTGTAGGCAAGAATCTCAGTGTTTTCTGCCTTTTCTGCGTTTTGTATTCGATGCTACTTCAGAGTCCAGTTATAGGTAAATGTTATAGTTTCCCTTACGTGTAATTGCGGTATCTTTCTCATTACATAMAGCGGATGTCAGGAACATTCTGTTTGCTAATCGATATCGACGCTTTCTTCATCTTTCCTTTTGTTTGTATAACTAAATCATCGTCAATTGGATATTCCAAATCCATGATCACAGATAAAGCAAAAATTGGCAATAATCTTATGAAGGAAGTTTGAAAAACAAAATTCATAACCCACYATTTTGGACGMAAATAAAACTCAAAATACCGCGGAACGTTTTAATCAAAGTTTTCTGTTTTCTTTGGCATCTTTTGTGTCATCCGTACCTCAAAGAAGGCGGATTTGAAAGGAAGAACATCAACACCATTGAAGTCTTATTGTACAAAACGTATTGATATATTTTATTTGCGTGAGAGACCGATTGTTCTTAAACGCTTGCTCCCCGAAGCGGAAGAATACAGCCAAATAGTTGGAGGATCAAAAGAACCGAAAAGCTCCAGAGAAAATTATACCAAGGCCGAGACCAGACGTCACTTTGCGTTCTAGCATTTTTCTCTAGTTTGTTCTTGAAATCTTTTCATGATAATTTAACGGTAATCTAGATTTTATGGCGACGCCCTTCTAGTCCTGCCGACGCAATGACATAACAAATGCTTATAGCGACTTGCATAATATTCTTGTGTGATTTAATGTGAATGATATTGGCTAATTTTATGATATTAACAATATGAAATTAAAGGTATTAGATAAGAAGGAAAGGTAGCGAAGGAGTAGGACTATTACGTAATGGAGTGTTTCAYARTGAACGATATTAATACTTTGAASAAAAATATGAAAAAATAAATAAACAATGCCGGCTGAAAAACTTAAATTTAAAAARATAAAAGAAACTTAAATTCAAAAATAAGAGGTAAAAATAACACATAAAAAACGTGGCGAGTAAAGCGTTAGTTAAATGTATGAGATGCCGAATGAACTTATCTATAATAAGATGTACTAAAAAAATTCGCCTAAAGCCAGTACAAAGATATCTAGCCATTCAACGTTCAATAAAGCCATTCTAAAACATAAACAAAAGGAAAGAAAATAATCTATATGTACTTACACAAAAGMCGAAAATAACAAAAAAGAAATAATACGACGCGAAGACAGTATAGAGTTCGCTTTTGGGTAAAAAGCCTTCAACGAAGCTAACCRTACGTGGAAAGTGRAAGAGAAGAAAAAGAAGAGAAAGAAAAACGAATCAAAGTTTACAATGAATAWGATTTTCAGGATAACTAGCGATTAGAGAAATAATGGTTTATTTTACAATACAATGGCTAAAAGCGTGTTTACAAGCTATTGAAAAGTGTGCATATACATTTAGAGACATTCACATTRAGATTTAAAATTTCAGAACTTAAGTTTTCTTTTCTTTCGCTAAAAAAATACAAAATAAGCGGCACATTCTAAATAATTGGCTAGTTTTTCTTTCTAGAAAAAAAATAGTTGTTACAAAGCTAAAGGAGAGAGAGGATATGATTAAATTATAGGAATAATACACCAGCTTTAGAAACTAAAAAGAAAGAAACATTTTATGTAAAAACACGCAAGAATTACAATGTGATGCATTCTTTGTACCGTTATTCAATCTTTCCCAAAAAAATTAAGAGCGGAATCTTTCGGCCCGCGATGATAAAAAGAATTGCCCTGAAAGAATGAGGCTTTACAAATCCGAGATATAATAAAATTCTTTAAAGTATTTAGCAGTAAATTTAACTCAACTATATATTAAACGAGCAARAACAAGAGCTCAAATTTGCCAGCATCTCAAACTTAGATTTYAGAAAGACCTTCAACTTTTTGAATCCGAAAAATGTTAGATAGAAAAGCCAGATAGTTAACGATAATTTCACATACCAATATAAGAGCAAGAACACAGAATTTTAAAATCATAATAGCATAGAAAATGTGGGTAAAAAAATACCAGAAAATGACGAAATAAAATGAAATACTGAAATAAGATTAAACATAGAAACTTTAGCCTAAGGTAGAATTTAAACGCCGGGGCTTCTTTGTGGTTGAATATCTCGAATCGTATTTGCTAGAATTATACAAGCAAAGTAGAAAAGATTGCCTTATGAGACAAAGGAGTCTGCTCACTTACCTATGAAATAACTAGGAAAACGCAACCCAGGAGACGTTTCTCTTGATCCTAGTGGATATATTCGTGCTAAAGTATTCTGTTTGTACGCTTTATACTCACTTGGGTTGGCCGTGGGTGTGAAGAGGGATGTTTATTTGTTAATGGGACAATTGATTTCCCTCTTAATATCCGTGATGTCTAATAACAGAAATAAATACAACCATTCTTGCCAAATGAATTATATCACTTGAGTACAAATCCGAAACCTCTTTGCGCCTCTGTTGGCTCTTTACTGACAGTTTTTGTTTAAAGGTGGTATTTAATTATTTATAATAAAGCCTTCCGGCGCTAGAATCAATAATCTGAACATTTATCTAACAGTGTTTAAGAGCAAGCCCATTTATTTTCCTTTCACGGCTTTCAATTTCTACTCTTTTGCCAGCGGCGAAACGTTTTACTTTTTCAGGGTAGAAAGTCTAGGCTTTGATAACATATTTCCCTTCAAAGAAGCCTGTTTTGTTGCGATTTTAAGATGTTCATTAGCCTTATCAGACCACAATAATTGCTGATGGTGTGTTTGCTCTAGCTAGTGATTGTTAAATTGGCGAATGTATCTAGGAATAATAGATGACGTAAGGAAAATTCACCAGTGGACATCTGGACACTGGAGTGAGAACAAAGAAATAAAAAAAATGGAATAAACAAGGAAACGGTAGAAAAAATATTTAAGAACTTTGTCACGACTAGTTGATACATAGATACTGAAATGCTAAAAAGAAGCAAAACTATAAATAACTAGTGAAGTAATTCAATAACAAACGATGAAATGTTTTACTTCGAAGAACCAAGCTTTCGGACAATGTGGCCATCATCGAGGCGAGCGCAATTGTCTTTCTTTCTGCACGCAACTGTGATGAATGAATGACACGAAKAAATGAATATATATAGATGGATTGTGAATAGATATATGGATAAATTATTGTTGATAAATACATGATAAATAAATTCATGGATGGCCCATGGAGGGATAAATGAAAGGATGTATGAAAGTATTAAGAAATTGTTGGACGGCTTGCAGATAAATGGATATGTAAATAGAATAATTGATGAATATATGGGTTTATGAACACATGGATAATTGTGAAAATGCATGAAAAAATGAGTGAGTGGATGACCGCACGGAATTACTCAAGCAATAAACGATGCGAAAAYGGAAAGTACGCGAACATGTCTAAAAAAGAATTCTAAACATAATATTTATAGCAACGAGTGAAAATAAGAGCGAATTAATAACGGAAATAAAATGGATCAAAGAAGAAACAACAAATAAGAAATAAAATAAATGAGTGGCATATAACAATTTCACA